TTAATTACATCAGAAATTAAAGATAATATTCGAATCCATTGTTCAACTTGTAAAAGATAAATACCAACGAAACGTGATGTTACTATACCTTAAAAAGAATTGAAAAAACAAAACAATGCATAAAAATAATAATTGAAGAGAACGTTTTAAAAAATACTATTAAGAAGTAATGTTCAATCTTCAAGTGCTTGAACCACGTTCTTGTTCAATATTTGTACCTAATGTATGATGATAATGTTTATGGACTTGAAAACGCATTGTATCCCATTATTGTTGAATATCATTAAGATTCTTTTCAATTTGTAATACTTTAATACAGTAAAACCTCCCTTAGTGGACACTCCTCTATAGTGGACACCTCTTTATAGTGGACACTTTTAGGTCCGACGGAGCATTTTTTGCTGAATTTAAACCTCTACATAGTGGACACTCTCTTAAGCGGACACCTCCCATAGTGGACATTTTCTTTTCAGGCCCTTTCATACCAAATACCTCTCTATAGTGGACATTGATTTAAATTAATAAAATATTCTATGATGAATACGATCAAACACACACTATATCATTGATATTCTTTAATGACACATAAAAGACAAAAAAGATTCGTCCGTCTTGTTAAATCGATGAAAAGTAAGAAAGAAAACAATGGTGGCATTGTTTTACTTGTCTCGTTTGTTCTATTTGTCTCCTTTGTTTTATTTATCTTATTTCTAACTCTTGAGAAAGAAAAAGGAGCACATAATGTCTCTTCGAAAAGCATTAACTTTGGAAGAAAAAATTACTTTAATCAAGGATAATCAAAATGGTCATGGTTTATCAGTTCGCGAGTTGGCTGATAAATATAAAATATCAAAAAGTAGTGCTGCCAATATTCTTCGTCGAAGTGAAGAATTTTTAGCTGATTATTCTTCTAATTGTAATAAAGGTGTTAAACGCAAACTCAAGGACGAAAATGGACAAAAAATTGATGAACTTGTCTTCGAATGGTTCACTCAACAACGTGCTAAACAGATTCCTATTTCTGGTCCCATTTTACAAGAAAAAGCAAGGCAAGTCGCTGAACAATTGGTTTATGCGTCGGAAACATTTAAAGCATCAAATGGTTGGCTTGAAAAGTTCCGCAATCGTCACGCTATTTCATTTCGAACAATTAATGGTGAAAGTGCTTCGGTGAACAATTCTACAATAGAGGAATGGGCACAGCGACTTTCAACAATAATTGCTGGATTCAATGAAAACGATGTGTTCAATGCAGATGAAACTGGTTTATTCTATCGTGCAACACCTAATCGTTCATTGGTCTTATCCAAGGAAGAATGTAAAGGTGGAAAGAAGAGCAAAGAAAGGCTTACAGTTTTATTGTGTTCGAATTTGACGGGGACGGAAAAATTAAAACCAGTGGTAATCGGTAAGAGTATATTCATTGGTTAATCATTAATTTATATAGTTTTTATTTAATTTTAGGCAGAAGTCAACATCCTCGTTGCTTCAAAAATATTACTACGTCAAAACTACCTGTCACCTGGCTGTCAAATCGAACTGCTTGGATGACCTGTAACTTATTTACTGACTGGCTCATCACCATCAATAATCAAATGAAAAAAAAACAATCGAAAAATTCTTATTTTCCTCGACAATGCTCCATGTCACGTAATTAATAATAATTTATCGAATATCAAACTTGTCTTCTTTCCTCCAAACACCACATCCAAGTGCCAACCACTTGATCAAGGCGTTATTCATTCGTTTAAATGTTATTAACGACAAAAATTAGTTAAACATATAATTGCTCAATGTACTCTAGCTCAAACTGCTGATCAAATATCAATTACTGTCTTAGATGCAATTAAATGGATCGATTTATCATGGAAAAATGTTACGGAAAATACAATTAAAAATGGTTTTCGTGCTGCTGGTTTTATTCATTCTTTTTCTACATCTTCGTCGTCTATGGTGGATATGGATATTATTGTTGAAGCTAATATAGAATTGAACAATTCTGATAATCCTCTACAACAACTTGATTCATTATTGGCTCATATTCGTATTGGTGGTCCACAGTTACCAGCTGTCGAGTTTGTGGACATTGATTCCTGTATTCCAACATTTAATGAATGGGACGATCATGAACATCTCAAAACTTATATCCAAGTTACTCAAGATGATAATGAAGAAGAAGAAGAAGAAGAAGAAGCTTTAGTAGAACAACCACCAAATTTATCTGAAGCACTCGAAATGATGAGAAAACTTCATCTTTTTGCTTCTATCAAACAACCTCAATTACACAATCTTATATCTGATCTAGAATTGCAATTAACTGACATTTACCTTTATTCAGAAGCAGTTAAACAAAGTACTATTACAGACTATTTTTCTCATTGCTGATTTTTTCTATTTTTGTTGTTTTTTGTTTGTAAAACTAAAATAATGAACGAAAAATCGATAAAAGTATAGTAAATTTAATTATTTTACTCATAGTACTGCACGCATTCAAAAGTCCGTTTTCCATCGCAACATTTAAAAAAAGACTTAACCTCTCTAAAGCGGACACCTCTCTATAGTGGACACTTTTGGAAAGTCCGAAAGGTGTCCACTATAGAGAGGTTTCACTGTAGCTGTTTGTAAAATATCTAGATGAAAATTTTTCAAAATTAACATTTATTATTTTACTATCTCTATGGTACAGTGAACATCGATCTCATTATAATCAGTACTCCAAGTGGACTGTGTGCCGATGATTTACTGTTCAGTATTTACACTAACATTGTGCATATCTATAAAATACTAGTTTTGATTTTCATTTTTTACTTAAAAAAGTTGTTAGCATAATTCCTATGAGATATAATTATTGTTGCTTATACCCGACACAGTGTTTTATTCTTT